ATAGATCCCCCCCCCGCCAAAAAACCCCTATAGAAAACTCCCGGGGGGACCCCAACCCCCCCTCCCCGAACCCCTAAACGCACCTACGTAATGCTCCACGTCCCGGGGGGTGAAGGTCGGGGGGGGTAAGGTCATTCCCAACCCTTCTTTACGGGCCACCAAGATGGGGACGCTGAAGGTCTTCTCCTCCAGGTACTCCACCGTCAGCTGGGCTCCGCTCGGGCGCAGCAGCACCTCGTCGGCGCTACGGGGACGTATAGAGGTCCCTATGGAGCCCCTGTAGCCCCCCCCGCCACCCCGCGGTGTCCCTGCCGCCTCCTATAGATCCCATAAGGGCTTCGAAGGGCAGCTGGAGATGTTTGGGGAGCTCCTGCAAGGGCTTTGCAGGGGCTCAATGAGCGCTGCAGCTCCTATAGATCCCATAATGGCTTTATAGGCTTCCTATAGGGTGCTGTAGTTGGTAACACAGTCCATAAGGGTCTGTAAGGTTCTATAAGGGTTTTAAGGGGCAGCTGGAAATGTTTGGGGGGCTCCTGCAAGGGCTCTGCACGGTCCTTGTGCTGTTTTAATGAGCTCTGCAGCTCCTATAGATCCCATAATGACCTTATAGGCTTCCTATAGGGTGCTCTAATGGGTAATGCAACCCCTACAGGGTCTATAAGGGCTTTGAAGGGCAGCTGGAGATGTTTGGGGAGCTGCTGCAAGGGCTCTGCAGGTTTCTTGTGCTGCTTTAATGAGCGCTGCAGCTCCTATAGATCCCATAATGGCCTTACAGGGTTCCTATATGGTACCTCAATGGCGCACGCAGCTGCTATAGCACCCTAACAGGCTGTACAGCCTCTATAGGACTTTAATAAGGCCCCTATAGGACTTTAATAGGGCCCCCATAGGACCCTAATGACCCATACAGCCCCTATAGCGCTCTCATAGCCTCTACAGCTCCTATAGCACCATACTAAGACCCCTATGGCACTCTGATAAGCTATATGGACCTTATAGAGCTCCTATATGGTTCCCATAGCGCCCCATGAGAGCATACAGCCCTTATAAGGCTCTCAGGGACCTAAAGCCCCTATATGGTCCCCATAGAGCCTCCTTAGCACCCCAAGAAGCCGTACAGCCCCTACAGCCCCCCAAGAGACCCTATAGCACCTATAGGAAAGGGAGACACCACCCCGTAACGCCTCAGGGCTGCCCCCCATAGGGACCAACCCTAAACCCACGTGCCGCCTATAAGGAGCGGAGACCTGATAGGGCCCCCCGGGGGCTCCTATAGCGGCCATAGGGCCCGTCTCTATACGTCCCCTCACCTGGGGAAGGTCCGGCCCCGTAGCTCCCGGACGAACTGGGCGCTGCCGGTGCGGACGGGGCGACCCGGCTCCACCTCCGGAGGCTTTGGGGGACCCCGGCGGCGCTTCACTGCGGGAGAAAGGGGGGGCCGGGCACGTACGGATCCATATGGACCCGGTCCCGTATGGATCCATATGGACCCGGGTCCATAAAGCCCCCCTATGGCCGGGGATGGGGGAACCAGCCCAGCCCCAGTCCCATATGATCCCGTATGGCTGGCGATGGGGGAACCAGCCCCGGTCCTATATGGTCCTATATGGTCCCAGCCCCATAAGGCCAGGGATGGGGTAACCAGCCCTAGTCCCATATGGATCCTGGTCCCATATGGATCCCATATGGCTCAGGAGGGGGGAAACAGCTTTGGTCTCGTATGGCCCCAGCCCAAACCTGGTTCTATATGGCCCTATATGGCTCTATCAGACACAGACCTGATCCCATAGGGCTCTATAAGGCCCAGATCTGGTCCTATAGGGCCCTATATGGCCCAGACCTGGTCCCACAGGGGGAAAACAGCCCGGGGAGACACCCCCCC